TCCCAGGGTGGAGTGGCTTTCGTGCTCCCATAAGTGTGATGCTGACATGAGACAATGGTCTGCTGGTATTCCAACGAGGGTTTCGAGACAGTTGGCGGCCCACTTTTTTAACGTAAACCCGCCCGCCATGCAGAGCTGACGGAGTTCCGTTTGTAACGCTATTGATTGGGATTTGGTGTGCGTTCCAGTCACGATATCATCAACGTAACTGTCGCGTCGCAATGCAGCGGAACCTTGCGGAAATTTCAATCCTTCGTCATCGGCCAGCTGGCGGAGAGTGCGAATGGCAAGAAATGGCGCGCATGAAAGACCGTACGTTACAGTGTTTAATTTATACTCGTTAATTGAATCGTTTTCTGTTTGACGCCAAAGAATACGCTGATACTCGCGGTCTTCTGGAAACACGAGTATCTGACGATACATTTTTTCAATGTCAGCGACGAATACATACCGATGCCATCGCCATCGCGTCAGTAAGTCAGCGAGTGGAGGCAGAAGATTGGCACCGGTCAATAACTGAGAATTCAAGGACTTGCCAGTCTTCGCAGGCTGCGATCCGTTGAATACCACCCTCAGTTTGGTCGAAGCACTTGACTCTCGCAGCACTCCGTGGTGAGGTAGGTAACACTTGCCTTGTTCTTGAGAATCCGATGATTTTGATGTCAACTCCATGTGCCCTAATTGTTCGTACTCTTTCAGGAAGTCCCGGTAGAGCTCCCCGAACCGAGTATTACGTTTGAACTTGTTCTCCATAGCAGTCAGCATTCGTTGGGCGGAGTGACATGTATCATTGAGGGGAGTTGGTATCGAGGCGAATGGTAGACGCACCATATATCGCCCTGTTTCCGTGCGGGTATGCGTTTGAGAGAAGATTTTTTCACATAATTGCTCGTTGGGCGAGGGTGCGAGGAAAGCGGTAGGTTCTTTCTCTTGGTCCCAAAATTGTTGCACAAGCGCAGTCAAGTCATGATCTGCGGTACACTGGAAAGAGCTGCGTAAGGCTGCAATCTGATTTTCTCCACAACCCCCTGAAAGAATCCACCCAAAGAGTGTTCGCTGAGCAACAGGAGTTTGAGGGTCACCCTTTCGAAGGCCATCTTGCAAGATAATCGAACAGACCTCCGCACCAAGTAGCAATTCGACAGGGTCGGTGGCCATAAATTCTGGATCCGCGAGTTGAAGATCCTTGATGTGAGGCCACGACCTTGCGTGTCTGATCGCCGCCCCTTGGTAGAGAGAGAGTCTTGGAAGGATGAAGGCGACAGCTTTGACTTGCTGTCCGTTGACCTTGGAAATGAGATTGAGAGTTACCTTTCCTCGAGTAAATCCGGACTTAGAGCCGCCAATCCCGAAGATAGTGACCTCCGCTCGGGACCTAGGCAGACGCAGATGTTGCACGAGCGCCTCGGAGATCAGTGAAACTTCTGATCCTTGGTCAATTAGAGCTCTCACTGGATGCGGATTCCCGTGACGGTCGGCGACGGTGAGCCTAGCAGTTGCTAGTAGAATGGCCTTGCAATCTTCGTCCTGTTGCACGGCGGACAACGTGCTGACTTCGGCAGGTTTCGAGGCAACGTACGCGTCATGAAGAAGCGTGTGGTGTCTAGC